CAGTCAATCGAATATTCTGAGACAGCAAGAGGTCTTAGATGGCTCATACCCCATCAAAGGCTTCCATGGAAAAGGAATAGCACTTCAAACTGGCCAAATCATTTCTACGATGTCACTGATGAGATCACAAAATTAAGCAACTTTTCCCTGAATTTCCCTTCCAAAGAGAGATATCACCATAGGACCGACTTGAATTTCAGCAAATATTCTAGTTACCGAGTAGATGAACCACATACTCCAATTAAAACTCACCCAAAGCCTGGTTGGCTCCACGAGCTTCAGAACAAGAGCATGGAAAGCACTTATGGACTACCTCTTAACCTCAACGAATACCTCACCTATTTCTTGGTTAGTATCTCTATTTTATGCTGCTAATGCTGTATTTCAAATAAGGAATTTCCTAAAGCGGTACTAGTCGTCTTGCAGAGAGGAGAGCCATTGTCTGCTAGCAATGTCATCAAGAAGATGGAGAATTATAAAGGGTAGCTCCACTTTTGGTTTCTGGTTTAGATTTTAAGCCGTTGAAGACTTTTCCTTGCTAGCACAACATATATATATTTTTTTCAATTGCTTGACAAATAAAGAGCTGCTTTTTTTGAAGAGTGGTTCCATTGAGTTCTTACTACCGAAACAATTTACTCAAACAGGTGGGAGGACTTGGAGATGAACCTGTTCTGGCTCGGTCTAGGAGGAGGCAGTTTACTCATAATCCATGCCGGACTATTACTTTTCCTGAGATGGAGGACAAAAAAACCAGCTTTTGGGATACTTTCAGTTCCTCGGTTTGAGCTGTTTCTTTTGATTCTAATGTTACCTTGTATCTCTCAGTCTTCCGCATTTGTGATAAGAGGTGAGGTGTTAAAAAGAGATTTGCCTTTAGTTTGGTTTGATTAGTTCTGCATTTTCATGAAATGAAGAACGTGCAATTGCAGGTGGTACAATGTGGGGAATTATAATTGGAACATTCTTGTTAGCAATCCCTGCAGCATTTATTTTATCGGTGTTTCTTTTCCTTATCATCGCAATCTTCTTTAGTAGCTTTGCGCAGTACAAAGAATTGAAGGACGTTGGCAGAGAGGAGCCATGGTACACAAAGCTCTGCTTCTTCATTTGGGGGAGAGCTGCAACCGGGAAATGGTTTTATAGAGAAGGCCTTCCTTCATCCTTCCTCCCACGTTTTGGTATTCTCTATGAAAATCAAAAGGGTCCTACATTGTTTGTCTTTGTTGATCAGAATAATCCAAACACGATACCTAGGTGGACCGGAAGCAGCCAATCTGAAATCGGGAGAATGAAAGCCATCAGCTCGGATGACAGCAACGAAGAAATTGAAATTCCGTTGTCCAGGAGGATTTTCGGCTGTGCTAGATCCTCCTATATTATTCTTGATCTAATAAGAAGAGTCAGTTTGGGGATAATAGCTGGAGCTTATTCTTCACATCACTTGAGTCAAAGCCTTTTCGCATTCACTATCACACTGATACAGTTTATGTATTTGTTGATTCTCAGACCTCACATCAGAAGGGGAGTCCATATGGTGGAAAGTATTTCTCTGATGTGTGAAGCAGGTCTATTTGGTCTATCTATCAGTATGGATGTCTCGAATCTGATTAAAGCAAGAACACAAGGATTTCTAATGCTTGCTCTCCTCTTCATTACCTTCCTTGTGCAAATAATAAACGAGTGGTATGCTCTAGTACAATGTCTATTAAGGTTCTCTTATCCTGAAATGAATTCTTTCTTTCATGGATTGACAATTGCTGCTAAGGGTGTTGTCTTGCCTTTTCTCCCAAGAAAGCATTTGGCCAGAGTCATACCCAGTTCCTGGCAGCCAAAAACTGGCCTAACTCCAGTACTTCCTCTATGCCCAGAAACAGAATTTGAACAAAGAGATATAAGAGCACCATGTTTTGGTTCGTTTAGCTCTATGAGCACAACAGTAGTTCCCGTGCTCAGTCCTGCAGGTTCACCAGGCATTGATGTCCTTCAAGCAACAGGTCCATTAACTACAGAGAGAGCTTTTACCAGCCAAAGAGCAGTGGAAGTGAAACAAGCAAAGGGACCTGAGCAGAAAAGCGAAATGAAGAAGTTAAGGGAGTTAGCAAGGGCTAGTTTCTCTGGGGACTCAAAAGGTTGAGGAAGGTAGCGCCAGAATGCAACTATATTATAATCATTTCCTCCGGAAACTTTCTTGGATAATTGTCAAGCTTCCACGTCAAAACCAAAATCTGATTCATAAATGCCTTAGTATTAATGCCAGGTTTCAGCTCTATCAAGGCTTCTAACAAAACTACCAATTTGTTAAAACTAACTTGTGACCTTAGCAAAAGGTGAATTACTTTTGTCTCCCCTAAACAGTAGCCTAAAACATTCATGTATTGTAGATAGCAATGTAATTAAATATTTCAAATGCACTAGCTAATTCTTGTCACTATTGCCACATTTAAGAAGCAGATCAACATGGGGATGGACTAGTTTTTGTACCCTGAAAAGTATTCTTCAATTATAAATATTTAAATTTTGAACCTGAAGTTCAGTTTCTTACATACGAAACATTCCACAAGATACCAGACTCCCGTATGCACAAGTTTGCTAAGCATAGATTAAATACAAAGATTTCATAATTTCTGTTGAAATTTAATTAATAGAAATAAGTAGCAGCGAAAACTCGAACTCTAATAATCTAACTCTGATATCATACAAAATAATAAATTCTTGTCGGATTATCACAGACATTTAACTTAATCGTAAAGATTCACCATTCAAAGATAAGTACTGACCTGATCAGCAATAACATAATGTTTTTCCATTACAACCAACATATATAGACATATCATTTCACTATTCAAAGATAAGTTCAATAATTTCCAAATTGGGTGTGTTAGAGTTTGAACATGGGCGACTTACAACATTCTACTTTTCCAGAGTGAATTTGGATTCTCTCTCTCCTATTAAGTGGGTCATGCGAACTGAACCACCATTCTTTTTCTTTAATTTTCCATTATGAATAGTTTAGTTTATACTACCCCACATAACGAAAGAAGATATAAATTCAATGTACAGTTTCTTCTATACTGGAAAATTGGCCATACAAGTGAATATACACAGAAAATAGGTAATCTAAAACCAGTCTCTAGCCACAATCTACTGAATCAAAAGCATCTAAGAATTATAAGCCTCGTGGATTGAGACCAAAAATCATGAAAATACCAAAAAGAGAAAAACAGCAACGAAGAACCACACCTTTTAGTAGAGCAAAACGCCTGGTAATCCTTCTTTTATCACGTCCCATATTCACCATAATCTGCAGGAACTAACTGCTCGTCATCTTCTCCATAATCAAATCCAGAGAAAGACTCACCCACCAACTCTGGCTTTTTTGGTAAAGTAATCAATCGATTAAGGCCATGCACCGCAAGCCAGTCGCTTCGATACAAGTCAGGGAAGATCAGAGGGACACCGTTGAGCAGAAGAATATCACCAGACCAAGTCAGGTTGATCGCGAATCCTCGTGAAGCAGTTGCAAGAGTTGTCCCATCACCGAGGCCACTCAGGTCTTTCCATGAAAGCAAGTTTGGAACAACGTGTGCTCGGAATATCGTCGAATAGTTAGCAAACATTGTTGCACGCTCCGTCATTGCTTCATCAATTGGTGCAAATACTGTTAATCTTGTCTCGTTAATGGACCCTACTACTAGTTGAGCATCAAGAAATGTACCCATTACAGCATATCCCCTAGAAATCAATAAACCCGAAGCTTCACCGAAAAGATCCTCACCATACCCAGATGTTCCATTAAACTCACCGCCGAGAGATGAGCAATTTGTCAAACCAGGACTGGGTTCTGGCGCTGGGTTAGGACTAGGAAGATCGAACTGAAATTCAGGCCTGAAAAACTCATCCACCCCGTAAATCACCATCGACCCATCATAAAAAATGGCAGACTCCTTAACCAGAACACCGTTAATTGTCAAATTACCGGAAGAAGCCGTGACTATCAGTGAATAGTTGGAAAGCAGAGTGGGTATTCTTGCTCCGTAACGAAGAGTCCTGAGGCTTTGTTGAGGGAGTCTTGTCGGAGAGATATGGCACTGGAGCTTGAGAAGAGAAGGTTGGCCTGATCGGACAAAAGCAAGATCCGACGGGGCGAAAACGGTGAGTTTCTGGGATTCAAGCTTCAGAGAAGTGGAGATGACTTCGAGAGTCAGTGCCATGGAAAGGAAGCCGGAATATGAGAGGATCTCACTGGCATTGCTGATGGTTCCAGGATATGCAATGGCAGAGAAAGAGAAAGAGAAGATAGCGAAAGAGAATAAAAGGAAGCTCAAGCTCGCCATGGGAAAACACAGGAAAGAGCGGGAAATGAAGAATCGGATTTGTGGAGTTTGTTATAGCCGCAACCAAACAAGGAGTCTGTTAGTTACTCGACGACAACTATTGTCTACGGTAAGTCCCACCGTAGTATCAGCTTCTATTGACCAATCACATTCCGACTGGCGGTACACTGATATTTCGTGATTTGTAAGTATTTGATATTTTATTTTATAATATTTTGAGAATTATGATTTATTTTTAATAACACAATATTATTAACTTAAAATTTGTCTGAAATTAAGAAAAAACAAACTTAAACATGGAAACGAGTTACATTAGCTTACTCAAAAAAATTTAAAACTCATATTAATTTTTATTCTCCTTATAAGATTTCTTTTCCTCTTTTTCATACTCAAGCATTTCCACTGTCTTTCAAATTTAAGATCAGAGGGAAATTAAAAAAGAGAGAGAGAGAGAGCAGTGCACTTCAAGCAATTTAAGTACACAGTTCTACCAAGAAACTGAAATTTAAACTTCTCTTCAAGTAAAATTTAATGAAATACCCGATGAAAAATTCTATAAATTCTTAATTACTACACTAAAATTATCGGCCTCTCGCCGAGGATATCAAATTTACATCCGACCCACCAAAATTCTTGCTCCATACTCGACAATACGCCTTCAGAACCGTCATCCACATTGAAGATCACTCCGAAAATCAATTTTGATCATTCACATAAACATTACATCCCGCTTTATTTTTTTTATTTTTAGTACAAGGTAATATATATGAAATTTGTGTGAGATAAGAATATCGACTTTCCAGAACAGATAAATATTGAAATTTTGCAGCACTAAAATTCATTCTACCATACCTTAAACTACAAAGAATATGAGCTTCAGTGGTTTTTGAAGTATTCTCATCTGTATTTCAATATGATTTCCCACCAGATTTTCTTATACTCCAAAATGAATGTACACCAGTTATGCAGAAAGGAAATTCTGATGTACCAGACGGGATGAGGGTTTTCACCATTAATTATCAATCCTTCCATTATTCTACCCGAGCAGCATCCAAATCAGAATCTTTTGCAAAACCTAGCTCTGACATGTCCTGCTTTGCCATCAAGTTCCTGCAGAAAATAATTAAAGAAATAATTATCAATTTTTACATCAGAAGAAGTTCAAGAGAGGTAACTTGTATGTGTATAGGGTGACCCAACTAAGGCTTAGCCAATGTGTGAATCCTTACAAGTATTCCTTTCCGATCTCTATAACATACTGTTTTACAAGGATATTAGCTAAAAGAAGAAACAAATCGACAGAGTTGCAATGCAGGCATCCCAGACTATCAATAACTTCTGAGAAGAAATATTCTGCTTAATCAAAGGGAAATACTTATATTCAAGGGCAAACATTAGGGCAGCTTGACGATGAAACCAAAACATTGCAGACTGCCAATGCATAATCTCAATAAGATTTTTCCATTGGAGATGAAATTTCTGTGATGCAAGAAGACTAAAAATGATCTACCAAACAGTGCAAGTAGTTTTTACATTATATATAGGTTCAGTGACCGGCAACATAGTCGCTGCTGTCTCTTGGGAAAGATGGAACTATACACATAACCTAATTCTACCTGCTTGTTATGTTATACCATAAATTTCAATTAAAAAATGAAGCTTTTCGAATAGCAAGAATGGTTCGTGATTCAGAGAACAAATACAAATTATACAAGTAATTTATGTTGGCATATAAATGCGCTAATTCATATAACTGGGTGAAAGCAAATCCGTCAGCTATTGCATCTATAATACTACATTCACATTCTGTATATAACATAAGCTGATAAGCATAGAAAGCATCTGCATTTCTTCAGCCAAGAGCTATAATTCCACCAAATTACAAGGAATAACAATGTTATGGTACGGGGGGGTTTAGGATCTGAGCACAGGTCCCAAAACTGAGAGGACAAGGAGCAAGATAATGGCCTGCTTGCTGGACTTACAGCCTTGATGGCATATATTGAGGTTGTTAAAGAGCTTAATACTCAATCCCTTGTGCACAGTTCCATTTCTACTGCTTCAACCTCAGCCACTCTAGGAAAGCAGGACAATAATCTTGGTGGAGGTCTGTTGTAGACTATCTGGAAAGGATAGCCTTCAAGGATGCATAGGGACTAGTATTTTAACAGTATTTTGCCCGTGGTAACTAGTCAAGCCAGTGTCGCAGCTTATAAGTTTAAAAGCATATCAAATATCTCTTGATGGTGCAAGTTGCAATAAAACCGTTATACAGTAGTCTGAGTGTTGTCCTCAACAATAA